GCCCAGCCAATACAGCACAAGGGTTACAGCCCCACTGAACTGAGTCAGCTTGGACATTCACCCCTGGGCCTGAGCAAAGAGAAACCGACTTGAGGGAAATGCAGCTGGGCTGACCAGGTCTGGGCACATGCCACCCACCACCCTTTCCAACTAACCCAGGGCAGGCTAAAAAATAGCTCCCATTAAAAAAATATAGTATTAAAACCAAGATCCATCTCCCAACAATTCGCTAACTGGTCAACTGAAGCAGAAGCCCTCTAAGCAGAGAGTGTTTTGCTGTTAAGCCTTATCAGCCTGGCGGCGCAGACTGCCCTGGGGTTTCAAGAGATGCTGGCAGCTCCGCGATCCACCTTCCCAGCTCACCCGAAAAACTCTGTCGAGGGAGAGTTTGCCAAGTTCAGATCTCATGGTGGTCTGGGCCAGCTGGGTGACTGCATACTCAGGATCTTCCACCCCATAGCTGGCCTGGAGAGCAGAAGCAAAAACCAAAGTCAACGGCAGTGCCAAGAGGAACCGCAAACAAAGCAGGGTGGGTGAACACAGAGAGGAGAATCCTGCCACAGACACCCCTGCCAAAGCACAGCAGAGAGTCCAGAGCCTTGGGAGGAGTCAGGACTGAGCCTTGGGAGGACTCATCCCACCTGCCCAGCAGGGCACAGTAAGCTGGGCAGAGGCTGAAGCAGGTGTGGTGAGGAGAAAGGGGCCAGCAGAGCCAGGTGAGTGGTGCCCGAGGAGCTGCCACAGCGGCCAGCACGGCACACGTAGACCATGCTGGGTGCAGCCTTGGAGGCTGCAAGTTTGACTCAGGCCAAGTGTCAGCACAGCAAGGACAGTACCTTGTAGGGGTCCATAACCCGCAGATAGAGCACACCATCAATCTGCAAGGTGACGTTATCTGCCAGGAGAGAAAAACACGGCCTGTTTGCCATACTTTGTGTTTGCTGCTTCAGTAATCTCTTCTCCCCCATCAGAACTAGCAGCAGTGGTCAGGGCCACCCTTCTCTTTGCTGGTGTCAACAGCACGGTATGGAAGAGCGAATGGCTGAAATGGATCTCCTTATTTAAACAGCTTTGTAAAAAGGACCCTGATGCTCTGGTAAACAAGAAGTCTCAGGTCTTCAGATCAGAATATGGGTAAAAAAACCCGCCAAAACAAAAAGCTTAATACTAGAAGCGTATGCAGAGCTGTGCTCCAAGCTGATCTGAAGTATTTTATACAGAAACACAGAGGAGGTTTTTCCCGGT